ATTTATTTAGATAAAACATGTGTTCTTTATATACAAATTTGTATACAAATTTCCCTTATAGCTGTCTACTTTATTTATAAATAAATGAAAATACCGGTAACATACTTATATGAAAATATGCATTATAATCCCGTAGGTGCGTATAGATGTATTGATAATATAATAAATACAAGGAAATATTATTCAAATGTCAAATAAATATATATATTAAACATTAGTAAATTACTTCTTTTTGTTTTTGCCCAGAGTCAAAGTATGATGAGAGGTTGATATCTGGGTTTTGCGACGACTAAATTCCACAAAATCTTCCTCTAGCCTCTTTCGAGAGTCCTCCAGTTTTCTTTTTTCCTCAGCATGGTCTCGCTTAAGTTTATCAAACTTTGCATGCAGCTGCAATGAACATCGTGTTAACTGTAATATATATTGATCTTTCTTTTTTAATATTATATTGCACCTCTTTTTCACTTTCTTTGAGCTCAGCTTCTTTTTCTTTGACCCTTTGTACAAACATCTGTCTAACTTCTTCTTCTTTGGCTTGTAATTCAGCTAAATGATTAGATCGTTTCGCTTCAAAGGTCTGTTGGAATGAAATCTAAAAATAAACTATTATTAGTATTAAGAATTTACTAAACAGAAGTTTAAAGTACCGGTTTGTTGTCACTATCTACATCGCTAAAGCCCATTTGTTCAAGACGCTTCTGCCTATAAAGTTCATAATGACGTGTGTGGGTTTTCTCCCTCATATCTTCCATATTAGTTCGGATCAGCATCTCACGAAGTTTAACAAAATCGCAATGCATTTCGTTTTCAACTTGAACGGTGCCCCATGGATATTGACGAGCTCGAATCAACTTGTTTCCCACTTTTATGAAATCAGTACTGCCTACTACAGCGAACGGGACATGAGTATTCATAGTTGTGTTCGTTTCAGCAACAGTTTCATCATCGGTTGGAAACTGATATATGTGAACACCATTATTGGATAATTCTTGCATAATTTTACTTTTGAAACGGTTCAACTCCGATTTTGAGATTGTGTCAGCCTTTGCAATGATTGGAATGATATTTACTTTGCTATCGAGTTTTTTCATACATACAAGATCTAGCGACTTAAGTCCATGACCTGTAGGGCAAATAAAATACAAGCATACATGAATGCGGCTATCGTGACATGACACCAAAGATCGCTTGATCTTGAGCTCTTCTTGCAAATAGGCCTCGAACTGTGCGTCAATATAGTCAACTACAGCTTTAAATGAGTCGTCCTTATTAATTTGATCACCATACCCAACAGTGTCGCAAATTGTTAGCTTAAGACGTACATTACTCTCTTGTAATTCATAAGTATGTGCTTTCAATTTTACGTTTGGTAATGTATGCGGACTTGGTGTAGACTCAAAGCTTGTATTAAAAAGTGTATCCATGAGTGTTGATTTGCCAAGACCAGTTTCACCTAAAAAATGTATGTTTTGTCTTATTTATAAAATTTTACATCAATGTATGTATATCTTCACCTATGCACATGACGTTGAAAACAAAACCATTTTGAACGCTCTTATTGACCAGCTGATCCGGCAAGCTATCAAATCCAACATGTCCTGATAGTTTCAGTGTTCGTAAATGTGGTTCGTTCTAATACATTTAAATATTTGAGAAAGTAAATGCAAAATAAAATATCACTAAAATGTTCTATTGTTAAAACATTTAAATATACATATGTGGATGGAAACTACAAATAAAACATTAAAATCTGTTACTGAAAATTTTTTTTATGAATTCTATCTTTAAAGATACCCGAAAATATTAATAGAATAGTTCTACGTTTAGCAAATATAATCAATATTTTTGAGAAAGTGTTATCAACAAAGCATAATTTTCAGTACAGTTTAATATTCAACAAATTATAAGTAATTTCAAGCTGACAATATTTTTTAATACTAAGCACAATATAATTTACCTTAACGAGGTCAACARCGACAGACATTTTCACTTTTACAAATTTGTTTGGAAACTTTTTTGACTCAACTATTATACATATATTGGCATGAAAACAACGCCCTTATGTACGATTCAAAATTGTTGAATTTGTGAAACGAAACAGGGGTATGATTTGTAATCTCTAGACCTCGTACATTTTACGATATGGTATTATTCATTTAGAGAACGTATGCAGAATTCGATCTTCTCGTTCTTTTACGTTCTACATCCTATTAATGTACATTTTGTGTAATATCAATGCCACATTTGTGAAAAAAATATAATTGTTCATCATTTATGTGACAAAAACACACAGTGGCAATTACGAATTGTGCTGTGTAGGTAATTCTGTTAATTTATCGTCGAATCGATTTTGTTCTACCATTCGCATTCGTCACAATATAAAGAAGGAATCGATTGTTTTGAATTCACCTCATGACGAAGGAATTCACCACGTGAAATATTAACATAGTTTTTAACAGAAAGAAATGTGTAATCGGAATAACATCTCTCTTAAAATGATCAATCAAGAAATATTTTTGATCAACGTTCTCTTGCAAGAACGGCCTGCTTTTCTTTTATAGAGCCAGCTAACAGCCAGTTTCCCGCGTGATTACATTACGACTGTTAAATAACAATGAACAGCGCGGTGTGAGTGTCACCTAAGCACTGACTCAGAGAATGTAAAGTATATATAAAGTTTACATTCTCTGGACCAGGCACCGTGCCTGCTTTTTTTTACAGGGTCAGCTAACAGCTAGCTTCCCGTGAGATTACTT